GTAAAAAAATATAAGTTTTACAGAAAAATGTTTCAAATAAAAGTTGTAGGATTTAAAAAGGTCTATTCAATAGTTTCATCAGTTCGATCCTGTCTGGCGTTGTTAAGGTGAAGTTAAAGTCACCTTGAATTTTTTAAATGGAACACCCTATTTTTTATTGCATATTCTTATAGCTTATCTCGAAAGCTTTCCAAAACACTATAATAAAATATTTTTTCGTTAAGAATTTTTCGAGTAATAACACTTGAAACTTCCAGCACTTTGATATAGAATACAAAATATCTCGTAAAATATTCATCTTTCGATTATCTTGCCTTAATGCTTTTTTGCACAGAATAATAAGACAAATTAATTGGCTTAAAAAAGCACCAAAAATTTTTTTATATTTATTATGTAAAAAATATTTTGTTTTTTTACGCCAATTAATTTTTCTCATTATTCTGTGCAAAAAAGCATTAAGGCAAGATAATCGAAAGATGAATATTTTACGAGATATTTTGTATTCTATATCAAAGTGCTGGAAGTTTCAAGTGTTATTACTCGAAAAATTCTTAACGAAAAAATATTTTATTATAGTGTTTTGGAAAGCTTTCGAGATAAGCTATAAGAATATGCAATAAAAAATAGGGTGTTCCATTTAAAAAATTCAAGGTGACTTTAACTTCACCTTAACAACGCCAGACAGGATCGAACTGATGAAACTATTGAATAGACCTTTTTAAATCCTACAACTTTTATTTGAAACATTTTTCTGTAAAACTTATATTTTTTTACGGTTTCCACACTTTTTCCTCACCCTGTGTGTGTGTGTGTGTATGTGTGTGTGTGCGTGTGTGTGTGTAACATTAATGAATACACTGTAAAAATTTCAAACTCATTGATCCTATCGTTTCTGTTAAAAAAATTCATAAAAGTAGCCTTGAAAACGGCTACTATCAGCTACTTCCACATGTAATTCCCCCCTTAAATAAGTATTATGCTAGATTCACAAAGCACGTTAATTTTTCATTTGATATTTTTCAATATCAAAAATGTGAAGTTTTTTTTATTTTATATTAAAAACCGTAGAACTGTGAAAAGTACTGCTAGAACCATCATCATTTTCTTTTTTTTTTTTTATTTATAAAGCGTCGTATCAGCTTTGCAGATATTAAACAAAACGTCTGGATAACCTATGGTCTGTTTTTTTCAGCTGCATTGCTGAACTAGTGCAATAAGTTAAAGTGAGAAAAGTATATTTTTTCTCACTCTAACTTATTGCACTAGTTCAGCAGTACAGCTGAAAAGAACAGACCACTAATCTACTCTATATGCAAATTTAACCTCGACTCCTCTATCCTTTAAGAAATAGCATTATAACCAATTTAAATACTTACAAGATACTTATGTGGTGACCAGTTAGTCTGCATAGCAAGTTCATTTTTTAAGAAACCTATATCGCCACCCAGTCCTGCCATCTCTGTTGTTAATCGCATAAAGCTCCCAGTAACAGGAAATATAGCAGAATCTCTTTTATCTATTGTCCAAATATACCTTAAGGCAGATTTCAGATTTGGTCCACATTGTTCCCGAACACGAAAGTCCGCTTGTTTTAAACAGGTTATATTTCTAAATGCAGCTTCGTATTGTATGTTATGCCTAGATATGCCAGTTGGATTTAATTCCAAATCAAAAAGTAATCCTTTGTCGTTTTGTTTAAAACCAGACCATGGGAAATCATTCGTGGTGTTAAATATAGTGCTAGTTAATCTGAAAAACAACTCCAGTAATGAATATAAAATGCAAACTTGATAACATGTATTAAATTCATAGAATAAATACAGATGTGATATTCTATTTACTCACGCTGCATTATACAAGCTTCGTGGGAACGGTTTAAAAGCAGATATGTTGAAATTAATGGAATTTTTAGTACCGTAAGAATACTCCATTTGAATGCGTTCTCCTCTCCCAAACAGATTTGGTGCTTTTGCACTGACAATTAAAGATCCCTCATTGTTTCCAACCATTGTGTTAATGCCACCAACTAAGCGTCTCATTTCACGTACTTTAAAGGTGACCTGATTAAAATAAATATAATTCAGTAAAGATTATAAATAATTTTATGTAACATATAGTAGGATAAGTAATGACAACAAAACTGTGATACATTTAAATTTGAAGAATTACTTATTCTTTGTTGAATTAATGTGTAATTATATAGACCCACTTCGACACCATCAGGAGTGGCTTCAGGACCTTGACTGGTGTCAATGTGAATTCCAATGCGTCTAAAGCATCCTAAAGCTTCCAGTTTCTCTTGCACTTTATAAGCACGTATAATAACATCCTGAAAATCTTTGGCTTTAAATAAGTCCATCACTTGTGACTTGATTATATCATCTTTTGTCCTCATAAGACCATCCACGTGTATCTTATCAACTCGCGCCTGCCATAATAAAATACAACATTAAGATTCATGAATAAAATTACATAAAAATAACATCTTTCTCTTCCTTCCTCACTCATTTTCTTTTGCTGTTATCCTCCTTTTCCCCTTCCTACCATCTCTCTTATTCTTTTCTTTCCAACATATAAAAATATTACAATCGTTTATATTTTATAGTAAAAAGTATCAAGAAAAATGCCAAATATTTCAGAAAATGATTTTTCAATAATATTGCTTCAGTATTTTTACATGCACGCGCAAAACAATTATTTGAATCAATTTATGTAAAAACAAAAAAAATATTTGATTCTATTTAACTCATGTGTCAACGCTTCAAAGCTTCGTATCTATAAAAGTAATATTTCTCTCAAAAAATGGTATGGAAGGATACATTATTATGTATCATTATGTATCATTATGTATCATTATGTATCACATATATTTCTTCCTACTATTAAATTATCATAAAAAATTTGTACATTATCTTCCTTAGTTATTACGATATTGAGTTGTAATGGCTTATATGATGCATTCTGTGTGTGAGTATTCTTTTTTTTTATTAATATACTATTCTATTAAAGGTCTGCAATTTATATATGTGTATATATATATATATATATATATATATATATATATATATATA